TCTTGATTGGGCAGAGCAAGGAGCTGCGCTGCGAGATCAACGTCATGGAGCCCATCAACGACGTGGTGTGAGTGCCCCCTGCGCCCCCATAGCGCGGAGCGGCCCCATAGCGTGCAACAGCCCCATAGCGTGCAACAGCCCCATAGCGTGGAGCAGCCCCATAGCGTGCAACAGCCCCATAGCGTGCAACAGCCCCATAGCGCGGAGCGGCCCCATAGCGAGGAACAGCCCCATAGCGCGGAGCGGCCCCATAGCGCGGAGCAGCCCCATAGCGAGGAACAGCCCCATAGCATGCAACGGCCCCATAGCGCGGAGCGGCCCCATAGCGCAGAGCAACCCCATAGCGCACAACAGCCCCATAGCGTGGAGCAGCCCCATAGCGCGGAGCAGCCCCATAGCGCGGAACAGCCCCATAGCGCGGAGCAGCCCCATAGCATGGAGCAGCCCCATAGCGCAGAACAGCCCCATAGTGCGCAGTCCATAATAACCCTATGGCCCATTATAACCCCACATCCCATAATAACCCCATATGCTATACCTGTGCCCCACAAGTACCTGTGCCCCCTAGCTGCCCCAGAAGTACCTGTGCCCCATAAGTAGCCATGCCTCACAGCTGCCCCATAAGTACCAATGCCCCATAAGTACCTGTGCCCCATAAGTACCCGTGCCCCACACCTGTCCCATAAGTACCCACGCCCTATAGTTGTCCCATTAGTACCTGTGCCCCATAAGTACCCATGCCCCACAGCTGCCCTCCAAGGTACCTGTGCTCCATAGCTGCCCCACAAGTACCTGTGCCCCATAAGTACCTGTGCCCCATAAGTACCAGTGCCCCACAAGTACCCGTGCCCCACAGCTGCTCCACAAGTACCCGTGTCCCATAGCTGCCCCATAAGTACCCATGCCCCACAAGTACCCGTGCCCCATATCTGCCCTATAAGTACCTGTGCCCCATAGCTGCCCCATAAGTGTCTGTGCCCCATAAATACCCGTGCCCCATAGCTGCCCCACAAGTATCTGTGCCCCATAAGTACTAATGCCCCCATAAGTACCTGCGCCCCACAAGTACCCATGCCCCACAGCTGCCCTACAAGTACCTGTGACCCATAAGTACTAATGCCCCACAGCTGCCCTCCAAGTACCCGTGCCCCATAGCTGCCCCACAAGTCCCTGTGCCCCACAAGTACCCATGCCCCACACCTGCCCCATAAGTACCTGTGCCCTATAGCTGCCCCACAAGTACCCGTGCCCCACACCTGCCCCATAAGTACCAATGCCCCATAGCTGCCCCACAAGTACCTGTGTCCCATAGCTGCCCCACAAGTCCCTGTGCCCCACAAGTACCCGTGTCCCACACCTGCCCCATAAGTACCAATGTCCCATAGCTGCCCCACAAGTCCCTGTGCCCCACAAGTACCCGTGTCCCATAGCTGCCCCATAAGTGCCTGTGCCCAACAAGTGCCTGTGCCCAACAAGTACCCGTGCCCCACACCTGCCCCATAAGTACCTGTGCCCCATAGCTGCCCCACAAGTACCCGTGCCCCACACCTGCCCCATAAGTACCTGTGCCCCATAGCTGCCCCACAAGTCCCTGTGCCCACAAGTACCCATGCCCCATAGCTGCCCCACAAGTACCTGTGTCCCATAGCTGCCCCACAAGTACCCGTGTCCATAGCTGCCCCACAAGTACCCGTGCCCCACACCTGCCCCATAAGTACCTGTGCCCCATAGCTGCCCCACAAGTCCCTGTGCCCCACAAGTACCCGTGCCCCACACCTGCCCCACAAGTACCCGTGTCCCATAGCTGCCCCACAAGTCCCTGTGCCCCACAAGTCCCTGTGCCCCACAGCTGCCCCACAGCTGCCCCACACCCCCAGGTGGCTTCACTCCGAGTCCCTCGTGGCCGTCGCCCACCGCCATTGGCTCCACGTCTACGACGGCCTCGGATTGGAGCTGAGCGTCCTCAAGGGCTGCCCCCGCCCCCTGCGCATGCGCTTCCTGCCCCACCACTTCCTGCTGGCAACGGCGGGTGCGGGGGGGGGAGGGAGGGGGGGAGGGGGAGAAAAGGGGGGGATGGGGGGGATGGGAGGGGGTGGGGGGAGAAAGGTGGGGGATGGGGGGAGAGAAGGGGGGGGATGGGGGGAGATGGGAGAAAGGGGGGGATGGGGGGAAGGGGGATGGGGGAGAAGGGGGGGTGGGGGGGGAGGGATGGGGGGGATGGGAGGGGGTTGGGGGGAGCAAGGGGGGGATGGGGGGGTAGAAGGGGGGGATGGGAGGGGGTGGGGGGGAGAAAGGGTGGGGGATGGGGGGAAGGGGGATGGGGGGAGAAAAGGGGGATGAGGGAGAGAAAGGTGGGGGGTGGGAGGGGGTGGGGGAGAAAGGGGGGGGATGGGGGGAGATGGGGGCAGAAAGGAGAAAGGTGGGGGATGGGGGGGAGAAGGGGGGGGATGGGGGGAGAAAGGTGGGGATGGGGGGGTCTATTTCGGTTGGTTTTGGCTCATTTTGGCCAGTTTCGGCTCAATTTCGGCCGTTTTGGGCTCAATTTTGGCTCATTTTGCGCCGTTTTTGGCTCAATTTCAGCCGTTTTTTGCCTTAATTTGGTCTGGTTTTGGCTCATTTTTTATCATTTTGTGCCGGTTTTGGGTCAATTTCAGCCGTTTTTGGCTCACTTTCAGCCCTTTTTGGCTCAATTTCAGCTGTTTTGTTCTGGGCCGTTTTGAGTCTATTTGGGCCGTTTTTGCTCTATTTCAGCCGTTTTTGTCTCATTTTGGCCGTTTTGGGCCATTTTTTGCTCAATTTCAGCTGTTTTGTCTCATTTTGGGCCATTTTGGGCTCAATTTCAGACGTTTTGTCTCGTTTTGGGCCATTTTTGTCTCATTTTGGGCCATTTTGGGCCGTTTTTTGCGCAATTTCAGCCGTTTTGTCTCATTTTGGGCCGTTTTTGTCTCATTTTGAGCCGTTTTGGGCCATTTTTTGCTCAATTTCAGCTGTTTTGTCTCATTTTGGGCCATTTTTGTCTCGTTTTGGGCCGTTTTTTGCGCAATTTCAGCCGTTTTGTCTCATTTTGTGCCGTTTTGTCTCATTTTGGGCCGTTTTGTCTCATTTTGGGCCGTTTTGTCTCATTTTGTGCCGTTTTGTCTCATTTTGGGCTGTTTTGTCTCATTTGGGGCCGTTTTTGCTCAATTTCAGCTGTTTTGTCTCATTTTGGGCCGTTTTGTCTAATTTTGCGCCGTTTTTGTCTCATTTTGTGCCGTTTTTGGGCCGTTTTTTGCTCAATTTCAGCCGTTTTGTCTCATTTTGGGCCATTTTGGGCCCGTTTTGTCTAAGTTTTGTGCCGTTTTTGTCTCATTTTGAGCCGTTTTGTCTCATTTTGGGCCGTTTTGGGCCGTTTTTTGCTCAATTTCAGCCATTTTGTCTCATTTTGGGCCATTTTGGGGCCGTTTTGTCTAATTTTGTGCCGTTTTTGTCTCATTTTGAGCCGTTTTGTCTCATTTTGGGCCGTTTTGGGCCGTTTTTTGCTCAATTTCAGCCGTTTTGTCTCATTTTGGGCCATTTTGGGGCCGTTTTGTCTCATTTTGGGCCGTTTTGTCTCATTTTGCGCCGTTTTTGTCTCATTTTGGGCCGTTTTGGGCCGTTTTTTGCTCGGTTTCAGCCGTTTTGTCTCATTTTGGGGCCGTTTTGTCTAATTTTGCGCCGTTTTTGTCTCATTTTGGGCCGTTTTGGGCCGTTTCATCTCATTTTGTGCCGTTTTGTCTAATTTTGCGCCGTTTTTGTCTCATTTTGAGCCGTTTTGGGCCGTTTTTTGCTCGGTTTCAGCCGTTTTGTCTCATTTTGGGGCCGTTTTGTCTAATTTTGCGCCGTTTTGGTCTCATTTTGGGCCGTTTTGTGCCGTTTCGTCTCATTTTGTGCCGTTTTGTCTAATTTTGCGCCGTTTTTGTCTCATTTTGTGCCGTTTTGGGCCGTTTTTTGCTCGGTTTCAGCCGTTTTGTCTCATTTTGGCGCCGTTTTGTCTAATTTTGCGCCGTTTTTGTCTCATTTTGGGCCGTTTTGGGCCGTTTTGTCTAATTTTGTGCCGTTTTGTCTAATTTTGCGCCGTTTTTGTCTCATTTTGGGCCGTTTTGTGCCGTTTCGTCTCATTTTGTGCCGTTTTGTCTCATTTTGCACCGTTTTTGTCTCATTTTGGGCTGTTTTGGGCCGTTTTGTCTAATTTTGCACCGTTTTTGTCTCATTTTGTGCCGTTTTGGGCCGATTTTTGCTCGGTTTCAGCCGTTTTTGCCCCGTTTCGGTCTCACTTTGCTCCCGTCGCTGTCTCCCGCAGACCGCGCGGGGCTCCCTGCACTACGTGGACGTCTCGCTGGGCACGGAGGTGGCGGCGCTCAGCACCCGCGCCGGGCGCCCCGCGGCCATGGGGCAGAACCCGGCCAACGCCGTCGTGCACCTGGGACACGGCAATGGTGGGGGGGGGACGAACCCCCTTTGGGACCCCCCAAACCCCTTAAGAACCCCCCCAAACCCCTTTACACCCCCCCCAAACCCCTTTAGGACCCTCCCAAACCCCTTTGTGACCCCCTCAAGCCCCTTTAACCCCCCCCAAACCCCTTTGGACCCCCCCCAAACCCCTTTGTGTTCCTCCCTAAACCCCCTTTGGACCCCCCTAAACCCCTTTGTGCCCCTTCAAACCCCCTTAGGACCCCCCCAAACCCCCTTAGGACCCCCCCAAACCCCCTTAGGATCCCCCAAATCCCTCTTGGACCCCCCCAAACCCCTTTGTGTCCCCCCCAAAACCCCCTTTGGACCCCCCCAAACCCCCTTAGAACCCCCCCAAACCCCTTTGTGTCCCCCCCAAACCCCTTTGTGTCCCCCCCAAACCCCTTTGTGTTCCCCCCAAACCCCTTTAAGACCCCCCAAACCCCTTCAGGACCCCCCCAAACCCCTTTAAGACCCCCCAAACCCCTTTGGATCCCCCAAAACCCCCTTTGTGACCCCCCCAAACCCCTTTGTGCCCCCCCAAACCCCTTTGTGCCCCCCCAAACCCTTTTAGGACCCCCCCAAACCCCTTTGTGACCCCCCCAAAAACCCTTAGAACCCCCCCAAACCCCTTTGTGTCCCCCCCAAACCCCCTTAGAGCCCCCCAAACCCCTTTAAGACCCCCCCAAACCCCTTTGTGCCCCCCAAAACCCCCTTAGAACCCCCCCAAACCCCTTTAGATCCTCAACCTCCATGATCCTCAAGACTCATTCCCCCCCCCCCCATATCCCCCACCCCACATCCAGGCACCGTGACCCTATGGAGCCCCTCCGTACCGGAGCCATTGGTGCGCATCCTCTGCCACCGCGGCGCCGTGCGAGCGCTCGCCGTCGACGCCAGCGGCACGTAAGCGTTTGGGGCCGTTCCTTGTGTCTCCTATGGGGGGCTATGGGGTGATCTCTATGGGGTGCGTGCCCCACAGATACATGGCCTCGGCCGGGTTGGACCGCAAGCTCCGCCTCTTCGACCTACGCACCTATAAGGCGCTCCACGAGCTGGTGCTGCCGTTGGGCGCCGCGCACCTCGACTTCAGCCAACGCGGGCTCTTGGCCGCCTCCTGTGGGGACGTGGTGCAGGTGAATCCCGCCCCATAGAGACCCACAGCGGGGCTTTGGGGGGGTTCAAGTCGTGCCGTGGTCCTAGGGGTCAAGCCCAGCCCCATAGCGCCTTGTTGAGCCTCAAGGCTTCGGCGACTTGAAGGTCTTTCGTTGCTACCCGTTCCATGGCCCTATGGGTCAACCCTGGCCCTATGGGTCAACCCCAGCCCCATAGTCCCTTGTTGACCCCTAACACCTCAACATCTTGAAGGTCCTTCCATTGCCCCCTATTCCATGCCTCTATGGGTCAACCCCAGCCCCATAGTCCCTTGTTGACCCCCAACACCTCAACGTCTTGAATGTCCTTCCATTACCCCCCTTTCCATGCCCCTATGGGTCAACCCCAGCCCCATGGTCCCTTGTTGACCCCCAACACCTCAACGTCTTGAATGTCCTTCCATTGCCCCCCGTTCCATGCCCCTATGGGTCAACCCCAGCCCCATAGCCCCTTGTTGACCCCCAAGACCTCAATGGTCTTGAGGGTCCTTCCATTGCCCCCTGTTCCATGCCCCTATGGATCAACCCTGGCCCTATGGGTCAACCCCAGCCCCATAGTCCCTTGTTGACCCCTAACACCTCAACATCTTGAAGGTCCTTCCATTGCCCCCTATTCCATGCCTCTATGGGTCAACCCCAGCCCCATAGTCCCTTGTTGACCCCCAACACCTCAACGTCTTGAATGTCCTTCCATTGCCCCCCATTCCATGCCTCTATGGGTCAACCCCAGCCCCATAGTCCCTTGTTGACCCCCAAGACCTCAACGTCTTGATGGTCCTTCCATTGCCCCCCATTCCATGCCCCATGGGTCAACCCCAGCCCCATCGTCCCTTGTTGACCCCCAACACCTCAACATCTTGAATGTCCTTCCATTGCCCCCCATTCCATGCCTCTATGGGTCAACCCCAGCCCCATCTCCGCCCCCCCAATTGCCCCCCAACCAGGTCTACAAGGACGTGGCCAAGGAGCTGCCCACCCAACCCTACCTTTGCCACCGCCCCCCCCAGCCCCCCAGCGCCCTTCGCTTCTGCCCCTTTGAGGACGTCCTCGGCGTCGGGCACGCTCAAGGCTTCAGCAGCATCTTGGTGCCAGGTGGGTGCCGGCCCCATAGGCACCCATGGGTGCTCCATGTGGGGCGGGGGGTGGGGGGGCACCCCATAAGTTCCTTTTGACCCCCAACCGCCCCACACGTTAGGGGCTGGGGAAGCCAACTTGGACGCGTTGGAGAACAACCCCTATCGTAGCCGGCGGCAGCGGCAGGAGTGGGAGGTGAAGGCGCTGCTGGAGAAGGTAACTATGGGGCGGGGAGCCCCATAAGTGTGGGGCAGGGACATTGTAAGTGGGGAGCGACACCCCATAAGTGGGAGGGGACGCCACATAAGTGGGGGGGGACACCACATAAGTGGGAGGGGATGCCCCATAAGTGGGGGGGGATGCCCCATAAGTGTGGGGCGGGGACATTGTAAGTGGGGAGGGACACCCCATAAGTGGGAGGGGACGCCACATAAGTGGGGGGGACACCCCATAAGTGGGAGGGGATGCCACATAAGTGGGGGGGGATGCCCCATAAGTGTGGGGCGGGGACATTGTAAGTGGGGAGGGACACCCCATAAGTGGGAGGGGACGCCACATAAGTGGGGGGGGGATGCCCCATAGGTGTGGGGCAGGGACATTGTAAGTGGGGAGGGACACCCCATAAGTGGGAGGGGATGCTCCATAAGTGTGGGGCGGGGATCATGTAAGTGTGTGGGGGGCATGCTGTAAGTGAGCGAACACACCCCATAAGTGAGGGGGCATCCCGTAAGTAGGGGGAGACATCCCATAAGTGGGGGGAAAACCCCATAAGTAGGGGGCGCACCCCATAAGTGTAGGGTGGGCAGCCCATAAGTGTGGGGGGGGAACCCCATAAGTGTTGGGGGGGAGTACCCCATAAGTGAGCTCTGAGCCCCTATGGGTGCTGCTGGTGGCGCTCTCCATGGTGCTGAAAGGGGCCTCTGAGGCTATGGGAGGTGCCCCCAAACCCCTTTGTGCCCCCCCCAAACGCCCTTAGGAACCCCCAAACCCCTTTAGGACCCCCCCAATCCCCTTTTGTCCCCCCCCAAACCCCTTTAGGACCCCCCAAACCCCTTCAGGACCCCCCCAAACCCCTTTAGGCCCCCCCCAAACCCCTTTAGGACCCCCCCAAACCCCTTAGGACCCCCCCAAACCCCTTTAGCCCCCCCCCCAACCCCCTTAGGACCCCCCCAAACCCCTTTAGGCCCCCCCCCAACCCCCTTAGGCCCCCCCCAAACCCCTTTAGGCCCCCCCAAACCCCTTTATGCCCCCCCCAAACCCCTTCAGGACCCCCCCAAACCCCTTTAGCCCCCCCCCCAACCCCCTTAGGACCCCCCCCAACCCCCTTAGGACCCCCCCAAACCCCTTTATGCCCCCCCCAAACCCCCTTTATGCCCCCTGTTTTGTGCCCCACAGATCCCTGCTGAGCTCATCACCCTGGACCCATCCCTCTTGGGCCGCATGGACACGGCCACGCTGCAGCAGAAGAGGGACGAGCGCATCCAGCGCCTGGTACCCATGGCGTGGGGCACCCCATAAGTACTCTATGGGGCGGGGGGGGGGGAATGGGGCAGCACCCCCATAACCCACCCCCCTCCCCCCTTTGCCCCATAGGGCTTTGACCCCCAAGCCAAGGGCAAGTTCAAGCCCCGACGCAAGAGCAAAGGGAGCAGCAGCCTCCATAGGAAGAAGAAGGTGGCCCATGAGGAGCAAAGGGTGAGGGTTGGGGGGGTCCTAAGGGGGTTTGGGGGGGCAAAAAGGGGTTTGGGGGGGTCCTAAGGGGGTTTGGGGGGGGCAAAAAGGGGTTTGGGGGGGTTCTAAGGGGGTTTGGGGGGGGCAAAAAGGGGTTTGGGGGGGTTCTAAATCGGTTTGTGGGGGACACAAAGGGGTTGGGGGGGGGGGCAAAAAGGGGTTGGGGGGGGTCCAAAGGGGTTTGGGGGGTTCCTAAAGGGGTTTGGGGGGGGTCCTAAGGGGGTTGGGGGGGGCACAAAGAGGTTTGGGGGGGTCCTAAGGGGGTTTGGGGGGGACACAGTGGGGTTTGGGGGGGTCCTGAAGGGGTTTGGGGGGGTCCTAAAGGGGTTTGGGGGGGCACAAAGGGGTCTGGGGGCATCTCCCATAGCCTGAGGCTTCTTCAGCACCATGGAGAGCGCCACCAGCAGCACCCATAGGGACTCAGAGCTCACTTATGGGGTGTCCCCCCCACTTATGGGGTGCCCCCCACATTCATTTAATGGGGTCCTCCATAACCTGACCCCCCCCATTCATTTAATGGGGTGCCCCATAACCTGACCCCCCCATTCATTTAATGGGGTGCCCCATAACCTGACCCCCCCCATTCATTTAATGGGTTGCCCCATAACCTGACCCCCCCATTCATTTAATGGGGTAGCCCCTAACCTGATCCCCCCCATTCATTTAATGGGGTCCCCCATAACCTGACCCCCCCATTCATTTAATGGGGTGCCCCATAACCTGACCCACCCCCCCCCCAAAGGCTGTGATCCGGCAGAGCATGGAGCAACGGGAGCAGGAGAGGAAGAAGAGGGAGAAGAAGAAGATGGGGCCCCCTCTGCCCCCCAAGTGTGGGGCCCTGGAGCGCTTCAAAAGATAACATTGGGGGGGGTCACAATGGGGGGGCCCCAATGGGTGTCAGCCCCATAGTGGGGTTCCCCAATGGGTGCATCCCCATTATGGGGGTCCCCAGTGGCTTCCTCTGCCCCATAGTGGGGGTCCCCTGGGTGCCCCTACCCCATAGTGGGGGGCCCCAGTGTGCTAGCCCACCCCATATTGGGGGTCCCCTGGGTGGTACCCCCCCTATTCTATGGACCCCCCAATATATGGGGGTCCCCATTAGGGGGGGTCCCTAATGTTGTTTCTCCAGCCCCATATTGGGGGTCCCAGTGTGTCCTGTGTTGTCCCCCCCACCCCATACCAAGGGTTCCCCCTTTGGGTCCCCCCCCCATTATGGAGGTCCCCTGGGTGCCCCCCACCCCATATTGGGGTGTTGTCTCCCCACCCCACACTGGGTGTCCCCAAACCCACCCCCCCTTTATTAAAGCCTTTTAGTGTCACCCCCCTTGTCCCTTTGCCCCCTTTCTTGGCCATGGGGGGCACAGAACAGGACCACGTTGCTCCAAGCCCCATTGCGGCCTTGAAGAGCATCCATGCAACCCCCCCCATATCCCATACCCCATATCCCATATCCCATAACCCCCTGCTCCATATCCCATACACCGTACCGCCTATCCCATTACCCCATATCCTATACTATCTCATATCCCATAATACCCCATATCCCATTACCCCATATCGCATACCCCCTATCCCATACCCCATATCCCATACTATCTCATATCCCATAATACCCCATATCCCATACCCCCTATCCCATTACCCCATACCCCCTATCCCATTACCCCATATCACATACCCCTACCCCCTATCCCATACGCCATTACCCCATACCCCTATGCCCCCTATCCCTAAAGTCCTCCTAGCACCCACTGACGTCAACGCCATATCGACGTCTGATTGGCTGATAGGCACCAGCCTCTCCAATCGCCGTTTCCATGGAGGGGCCATGGAGAGGGGGGGACAGGGGTGTCTATGGGGCTGTGATGGGGCAATTGGGGGGGGGGGGGGGGGGCTCCAGGAACAGTTGGATCTGGGAACAATTGGACCTGGGAACAGTTGGATCCAGGCTGCAATTGGATGCGGGAACAGTCGGATCCAGGAACAAGCGGATTCAAGAACAGTTGGATCCAGGAGCTATTGGACCCAGGAACAATCGGATCTGGGTACAATCAGACCCAGGAACAGTTGCATCCAGGAACAATCGGACCTGGGAATGATTGGACCCAGGAACAATCGGACCTGGAAACAGTTGGATCCGGGAACAATCGGGTTCAGGAACAGTCAGATCCAGGAGCAATCGGATCTGGGAACAATCAGATCCGGGAACAATCGGACCCCGGAACCATTGGACCCAGGAACAATCAGAGGCAGAAACAGTTGGATCCAGGAGCAGCTGGACCCAGGAACAATCAGATCCAGGAACAATCGGACCCAGGAACAGTTGGACCCCCAGGGACAATTGGATCCAGGAACAATTAGACCTGGGAACAGTTGGATCCAGGAACAGTCAGATCCAGGAACAGTCAGATCCAGGAACAATCAGACCCGGACAGTTGGATACAGGAGCAACTGGCCCCAGGAACAGTCAGATCCAGGAACAATCGGACCCAGGAACAATCGGACCCAGGAACAGTTGGACCCAGGAACAATCGGATCCAGGTACAACCAGACCTGGGAACAATTGTATCCAGGAGCAATTGGATGCAGGAACAATCAGATCGAGGAACACTTGGACCCAGGAACAATTGGACCTGGGGACAATCAGATCCAGGAACAATCGGACTCGGGATTGGTTGGATCCAGGACCAGTTGGACCCAGGAACAACCAGAGCTGGGAACAATCGGATTCAGGAACACCCAAACCCAGGACCCTTTTGGGCCCCAATCCCCCCACCCTACACCATGAAGCCACCTCTGGCTGTACCATGGGTACCCCCAACACAACACCCCCCCCGTGTCCCATTGTACCCCCACCCCATTGAAACACCACACAAGACACAGGCGAAGAAGCAAGGGTCGGGTTGTCCACCCAAGTGCGACTGTACAAGAGGAACCAGACCCTGGCTACAACAGTCGGCGCGTCCAGGATCCAAACCACCCCCCCCCACACTTCCGGTTGTGACCTACAGCCGGACTATAAAGCATTAACACCCTCCCCCCCCAACCCCGGTTGTACCAACCACCGCCCCCAAACAGCCGCTCGCAACAGCCGGTGCTATAGGGCTTGGTTGTACAGGCAGGTTGTGCGCTACAGTCGGACACATGGCGCTACGAGGAGGGGGGACACCCCAACCACACCGGTACAATGGGGGGGGCTACAGGTGGAGCTGGTTGTAGGGGGAGAGGACAAGGTATGGGTCCACCATAGGGGATGACCATAGAGGGATGGGTTGACTGTAGGGGACAGCTATAGGGGGTAGGGGTCAACTGTAGGCAATGGGTTGGCCATAGGGGATGACTGTAGGGTACATGGGTCCGCCATAGGGGATGACCATAGGGGAGGGGTTGACCATAGGGGACAGCTATAGGGGATATGGGTCGGTTGTAGGCGCAATGGGTCCACCATAGGGGATGGCCGTAGGGGGCTGGGATGACTGTAGGGGCAATGGGTTGACCATAGGGGCAATGGGACCACCACAGGGAACGGCTGTAGGGAGATGGGGCGACTGTAGGGGCAGTGGGTCGACCATAGGGGTTGACTTGTAGGGGACAAGGATCCACCATAGGGGACGACTGTAGGGGCTTGGGTTGACCATAGGGGCAATGGGGCAACTGTAGGGGAGGGCTGTAGGGGTTGGGTTGACCATAGGGGACCCCTGCGACAACAGGCGGAGGCGGGTGACACCCGGAGCCACGTGATAGGCCAAGAGACCCAGACCCAGGGCAAGAGGGTCCAACCCCTATAATTACCCCCTTCCCCCTATAATTACCCCCTTCCCATTCTTATTACCCCCTTCCCATAGCAGTTACCCCATTCCCATTGTAATTACCCCATCCCATTGTAATTACCCCCTTCTCGTTGTAATTACCCCATCCCCATTGTAATTTCCCCCTTCCCATTGTAATTACCCCCTTCCCCATAGTAATTGCCCCCTTCCCATTGTAATTACCCCATCCCGATTGTAATTACCCCATTCCCATTGTAATTACCCCTTTCCCATTGTAATTACCCCCTTCCCATTCTAATTACCCCATTCCCATTGCAGTTACCCCCTTCCCGTTGTAATTGCCCCTTTCCCATTGTAATTACCCCCTTCCCGTTGGAATTACCCCCTTCCCATTGGCATTACCCCATTCCCATTGTAATTACCCCATTCCCATTGTAATTACCCCCTTTCCCATAGTAATTACCCCTTCCCATTGTAATTACCCCCCTTCCCATTGTAATTACCGCATTCCCATGGTAATTATCCCCCTTCCCATTGTAACTCCCCCCTTCCCCATAGTAATTACCCCTTCCCATTGTAATTACCCCATTCCTATTGTAATTACCCCCTTCCCCATAGTAATTACCCCTTCCCCATAGTAATTACCCCTTCCCATTGTAATTAACCCATTCCCATTGTAATTACCCCCCTTCCCATTGTAATTACCCCATTCCGATTGTAATTACCCCCTTCCCGTTGTAATTATCCCATCCCGATTGTAATTAACCCCTTCCCATTGTAATTACCCCATTCCCATTGTAAATACCCCATTCCCATTCTAAGTACCCCCTTCCCCATGGTAATTACCCCCTTCCCATTGGAATTACCCCCACGTTAATTACCCCATGTTAATTAACCCCCAAATGTTAATTACCCCTGGGGGGTCACTTACAGAGCAGGTAGACCCCATATTTACACCCTCCCATTGCAATTACCCCTATTTTCATCACCCCCCATTGCAATTACCCCCATGCTAATTACCCCCATATTAATTACCCCATGCTAATTACCCCCCATGCTAATTACCCCGAGGGGGGATCACTTATAGAGCCGAAAGACCCCATATTTACCCCCCTCCCATTGTAATTACCCCCCCTTTTAATCACACCCATATTAGTGAGCCCACGTTAATTACCCCCCCATGCTAATTGCCCCACATTAATTGCCCCATGGAGGGGTCACTTATAGAGCCGATAGACCCCCTATTTCCCCCCCTCCCTTTGCAATTACCCCCCCTTTTCAACACCCCCCATTTCAATCACCCCCCTATTAATGACCCCCATGTTAATTACCCCATATTAATTACCCCCCCATGCTAATTGCCCCACATTAATTGCCCCATGGAGGGGTCACTTATAGAGCCGATAGACCCCCTATTTCCCCCCCTCCCATTGCAATTACCCCCCAATTTAATCCCCCCCCATTACAATGACCCCTATGTTAATTACCCCCACCTTAATTACCCCCCATGCTAATTGCCCCACATTAATTGCCCCATGGAGGGGTCACTTATAGAGCCGATAGACCCCCTATTTCCTCCCCTCCCATTGCAATTACCCCCCCTTTTCAACACCCCCCTTTTCAATCACCCCCCTATGAATGACCCCCATGTTAATTACCCCCCCATGCTAATTGCCCCACATTAATTGCCCCATGGAGGGGTCACTTATAGAGCCGATAGACCCCCTATTTCCTCCCCTCCCATTGCAATTACCCCCCCTTTTCAACACCCCCCATTTCAATCACCCCCCTATGAATGACCCCCATGTTAATTACCCCCCCATGCTAATTGCCCCACGTTAATTGCCCCATGGAAGGGGGGGGGGGGGGGGAAGGGGGTCACTTATAGAGCAGATGCACGCGGCTCCCGTCGCAGTTGCCCCTGCCCATCTTGTCGGCCTGCTCGGCCACGAGGCAGCGGACGAGGGGCAGGCTCTGGGGGTAGAAGGGACCCCCCGTGGGGGTGGGCGCCCCCTGCGGGTGGGGGTCGGTGGTGGTGCCGCCGGTGGTGCCGGTGGCGGAGGACGAGGAGCGGCGCCGGGAACGGAGC